AATAAAAACCAAATAAACATAAGAATACAAAATAAAATAAAAATATATAAAACATATAAACAATATTATTTTTATTACATCCAATTTTTATAAATACGGTCGAAATTCGACAACACGAACCACAAAACTCAAAAACATGAAAAATGTTAGCCTCGTCAAACGTTTTCCTAGCGATCGCATATAATTTTAGCATCAACAGTTCGTATTAGCGAGCTTCGACTGTATTTATGCCCTATATTTGTGCATCAAGCTGCCGCTGGTTGCAATAAAAAAAAAAGACGCAGCCCGCCTACACTGTTGCTTACACCTTTTTCTATGTCGAACTGCGCGCCATTTTTCCCCCTTTTCTCTTGATTAAGCTTTTTATGTTTGGTATACAAATATGTACTTTAAAATATTTTCGAAATCAAATAATTTATTATTTATTTTCTTTGTTTTAATACTTTCGTTTCAGGGCCTGGACAATCAGATCTATAATTATTTCTCAACACTATAGAAATTGGTTATAGATTAAAAAAAAAATAATATAAATTGTAACTATATTTTTGTCCAACAGTAGTGCAATTGCACGAAAAACACATGTGAACACTTTGGCGTTGGAGACCAGAGACTTGGGTGGGCACTAATGGCAGTTTCAAAATAACGCGAAAACGGACGAAGTCTAAACAAAAAAAAAAAAAATAAAAAATTGCAATTTGTACGTAGCTGAGGGGGTATAGCTTAAAAGAAAATTAAGTTTGTTTGCAACAACAACGAAAACTAATAAACAATCACAATAACAATTTATGTAAAGAAAAAGGCAGGTTCGCGAAGGTAACGAAAATTATCGAATTATGAATTAAGGCGTTTAAAAAATAGCTGATTTTAAAACGAAACATGAAAATTAATACAAAAAAATATCGACTTGCAAGAAAAAAAAATGAACTTAACGAAAAATTGCGCTAACACAACATTTATGTTTTTAACTCATTTTTATTATAGTTACATACATATATTTACTTTAAACTTTTTGTATTTTTATGTTTAGTAGATATTTCATTTTATACTCATTTTTATTACTACATACATCAATTGTATCGTGGCATGTGTCGAAAAGTGTTAAATTAAAATATTAATTACAATTAAAAATAAATAATGTTTTAATTACGAATTCATAAAAAAAAATATTTTATCAACACAAATTATGTGTGATTATATATATATATATATATATATATATATATATTTTTTTTTTGTTATTAATATGCGTCTGTATTTGTCTTATCTAAACTTTTCATTAGCAATTCAGTTATTTATGTTTTGAGAAAAACAATTGAAAACAAAAAACGAAATCATTTCTTTAGTGTTGTAATGCATATTTTTATTAATGCGATGTATTTCATGAAATAAAGGAAATGAAAAATACGATTGGGTAGTATTTATTGGAAATTTGGTGGATCTTTCGGGAAAATTATGAACAGGTGAGAATTTAATTTTCTTAAAATACATACATACATTATATATGAGGGAGATATTCAGCTCTAGGCGAAAACTTTTCAGTTGAATAAAAGCACTAGCACCCAGCTTTGGAATACCTCATGTATTTGCGAAGGAATTTCCGCCATCTGTAATCTAGTATATAAAATTGGTAGGTGAAAACGAAACAACACTCATCCTATCATTTATTTTATAAAATTGTTAAAAAAACGATTTTTAGTGAAATGAAAATAATTTTTAATAATAAAATCTCGAATGCCTAATGAAGTTTAATGAACTGTAGATATTAATAAATTAAAAAAAAAAAAATAATCATTTATATTTAAAAATGCCAAAAATAATTCCTTCTGTAGCATCAAACCATTTTTTTTATTTGAAATCATGTAATTAGTTAAACACATATGGCGTTTTCATAAAAAATAAAATAAATTATAAAAGCTTCATAAAATGGTATTTTTGACAACATATCTTTTCATGAAGCATTTCCAATCTATTTTAGTTATTGTGAGTTTGGTGTTACCAAATATCAAGAAAACAGCCATTTTCGAACTAAATAGTTCACATATTTTATTTTGAAGTTTTATTGTTAACTTTAGTTTACATTTTCTATATTCATATGTTTAATTATAAGTTGTTGCTTATAATAAGATTTAAAATTTAAGGGAAGCAGTTATTTTTACTTAACATAAAAATATTAAGCTTAAGGAGCATTTAAAGAGCTAAAGTAGTTTTAATTAAAATTCTTAATCGTTTCCTTAGATTGAGGGACGAGTATTTTTTTTTCTGTCCAAATTTTATAACTTAAACATGCATGCCAATACAATAGCACCCCATTTCAAAGTGATATTGTTTGCCACTCATGTTTATTTATTTTTTTTTTTTAGGATTTTTCAATTAAAATACAGTTCATTCTCTAACAAAACTCATATAATCCCTAGTTTAAAAGTTGTTAAAAGACTACAAAAAAAAAATGCTACAAATTTTCACCCAAATTAAAATTTTTCTCAGAAGTTTTAGAATTTTTTCGAGTACGCAGTTTTATCGCTCATATTCAATTTTACTCTAATAATGTGCAAGTTTCAAGCGGCTAAAAATTACCGTTGATTTTTTAGATTTTTTTTCGCCGAAGGTGTTGCGGGTTTCTTCCATACAAAGATATACAGACTAAAATTGAATGAGCTATAAAACTGTGTGCTCGAAAAAATTCTAACACTGATGAATGTGTTTTAATTGAAAAATCCTAAAAATAAATAAATAAACATGAGTGGCAAACAATATCACTTTGAAATGGGGGTGCTATAGATATGTCCAATACTGCGGATATTAACCGATGTTTTTATAAAATTTAAAAATTTTGGTTATGTCGGATTTCCACTGGAGCATTTAAAACTCTCCCTGTCATTATGTTTAAAATAAAATATTTTAAGTACTATATTTCCACTTGCCATTGAAAAGGTCACTTTCGCCATTTAATGCCCATTGGTAATTCGCCATTGGAGGGTTGTAGAATGTGCACTTGATTTTGATAAATATTTGGCACTTTTCACATCTTTCTATGTACATACTTAGATAAATAGCGCAAGTCATTGAAACCAGATTAAAAACCGTTCATTAGTGGAAGTGTTTTGTTTTGTTTGAACGAAACCAGTTATTTTGTGTAAAAATATACAAAGCTCATATAACTAAAATTGAAATTTTTATATTTATTTGAATTTATTAAAGTGGCCATACGTCAAAGAGGTAAACGTGTGGACGATAACAAGGCTAGGTTAATAGTTATTAAAGGTTAAGGGTAATGCCTAGGGTATTTAAGAATAAAGTTTTTAAATACACAATTTTTTAAGTATGCTCACTACTATTAATGTTATTTTATCTGAAATGTAGAAAGCTGGCGATATCAGGTATCAGTTACAGGAGGGAAAGCTTCACTGGTGGCCAAAAGAAAACAATAGATCGGCAGCATTTTGAAGAGAAAGGCTTTGGAAGACTCCATCCAGACAGTATTTTTCGCAAGGCAAAAAAAAAACACGCAACCTACATAAAATTCAACACAGACACGCGAAGAAGAGAAAGAAAAAGCGAGGAAAAACATACTGACAAAAAATTAAAAACAAAAAAAAACGAAAAGCGGATTCTTCGTAACTGCAGGGGTTCAGAAGTTTTACACCCACGACTCGCCGAAGAATATAGTAGTGGTTTGGAAAGTCAAAGGGAGCTAAAATTTTCACGAAAATTAATATTTTTTACAAACAATATGCCGTTTTGACGAGAGCAACAAAGCTTTTGTAGTCATTGCGCCATCGATTCGGTAATATATACATATGTATATAAAAAAAATTGTATACCTTACGGTAGGTAAACTAGGGAAGTTAGTCTCTTGACGAGCTTTTTTTCGGATTTACGGAAAGGAGAGAAAATATTTAAAAAAAAAAATGGGTATTCCAAGCCCATATTTGTGATACTTGTGTCCTTTTTCAGAAACTTGAGGTTTGTTTGAAAATAAAATCAATATTTTTTCTTTCTGAACGCGAATTTGGGGTATGACAAAATATTATAATTTTCTACGAAAATTTCAAACAGTTAGGACTAAAGTTAAGTTAGGTTAATATGGCTGGTAATACGCTACACATAAACTACTAGAACCATACCACTACTGGTGCCAGTAAGGACATACCAGAGCGAAAATGAAAGAAGACTACGACTATCCAGTTGCGCGAGTCAGAAGAAAACGAAAAATGTGTGCATAAATTTGTACGAGTACTACTTGTATATGTATGCTGCTTATCCATCCATCTACTTACTAGGTTAAATTTTTAATTTTTAGTTTTGTTTTAAGTTCTTCCAAAAATATGTAACTTGATCAAGACCAGTTCGTATAATACGATAGTATGTATGTATGTTTGTTTTTAATACAATAACTTTGATATTTGAAAATTGTTCAAGTTGCCTAAAAAGCTTATTATTGACAGCAGCACTATAAAGTTAACATTTTCAATGCAACTGCTTTAACTACATAAGTCAACAAGCATAGAACTACTGAATAATATTCCGACTACTTACTAAATGTATGTAAAATATAACAACAAGCAATGTATGTATAGTATATAGCATCTTCATATGCCTTAGTAACAATGCTTAAAATTTGTTCTACAAATGCCTACAAAAACTACAATCAGCACGTTTTACGCGTTAATTTGTTATATTAGGCAACAAACTACATTTTAGTGTATTGTATACATATACATACATACATATGTATATACATGTATATTTAAATGAGTATGTATAGTAAAATTCATTTAAATACACTTTTTACATTTTATTCGTCATCTTTGCATGCAATTGCATAGACCATTGCTGAATGTTTGCAATTTGGTCCGGAATGTTTAAAGTATTTACTAAGGTTGTCTTCTTTTAAAAGCATTTGAACCAATTATACATTTATTATCTATTTGTATTTTTTGATTAACCGTGTACTGGTTGTTTAATATTTTATTTAAATGTACTTGTACATATGAATATTGTACTAAGCAGTATAGAAATATGTATGTATATATAAATATGTATATGTATTAAGTATATTGCTATTTTGTATTGTTATTACAGTTTACTTTGAACCTTAAACTTTTTGTTTAGTATTAGCTCCTTTAACCCTCGGATTTATTTTAGGTATTTATGAAGTTGTCAGTATTATTATCTCTCATTGAAATTGAGGAGATGGGTATCATGTAAAATTTACGAATTCGTCTAGCAGCAGTGCGACGGCCAGAGGGAGAAAATTTAGATGAATATGAAACTACTATAATAATTAAATCACTTTGAAGAGGCTGCTTTAAGAGAAGTCTGCATAGCATATTATTCAGTTGTTTAAGAGAATTTTCAATATCATTTAAGGTGGTTTTTATAAGTTAAGTAGATATTTTGATAGCAATATTGTGATTCGAAGAATAAAGTGTGAGCGTGTGTAGGACTGTGAGAAGAGTAGAAGCTTTGACTAAACCATTGATCTTATTTCTTCTTAGTTATATGTATATCTTAATGCTTAGCTTAAACTAGTATAATTTTAGGGTTTGTAAAAAAAAAAAAAAAACTGGAAGAGTTTACCCTAAAAGGCCATAGTAACGTTATATCTTCTTAACTTGCATAGGAAACGCGATTTAAATATTTTTAGCTACTTTTAGCTACTTTCTATTCTTTGTTTACCTAAACGATTGCAAAACATTACCATTATTTATAATTTCAAATGAGCCTACCTTTCAACACGAGCTCATTGTATCAAAAATTATCTTTAACTTGCTACATCCACATCCTCTTCATTTTCACGCACACCCATCAACTCCTGTACGATTTTGTATTCATGACATTGTGCGCACACTAAACGTCCATTTGATTTGTTTGCACGTTGCGTTTTTTCATGACACACAATGTGCACGAGTTTCAAATTTTTCAGCGAAAATATTTCCAAGAAATATTCCAACACTGAAATGTCAATGACGCGCTTATTATGTAAGGTGCATTTCTTTTGTGGTTGCTCCACTAGCATGCGTACATTATCAATTAATGCTGGCAATATGGAACGTGAAAGTTCAATTTGATGATCCAAATTCCACACTTGGAAAAGTATCAAATTTTCTCGCGACGCATAGGGATTAATAGTGTGTTTCAAAGCACAGCAGTTTCCGTTATCAGAATAGCTGCCCTGACAATAGAAATCACCCAGTTCGGTGCACAGTGACACAGACCACTCGTCCAATATTTGATGGCGTGCTGTATACTCTTTGATAACTTGTCGTAGCCGCTTGTTTGGAAGCATTGCGCTGGCATCAGTTTCGTCGTCGTGATGCTGTTGCACAATTGAATGCTTTTTCGGACACTTTCGATTAAACAGCGTCGAGAAGTAATCGCAACCGATGAGCAGATAGCGAAATTGTTCCAATACAGCGTCGATTATATGGCGGGCTTTAAGATTTTGGCGATAGAGTTTATTGCGTGTAAGCTCTTCCTTAGTTTTATAATAGTAACTACGCATGCGATCTTGTGCGCGACGTGCCATGGCTTCTTCCTTTGAATGACAGCGTTCTTCTTGCCCCTCGAACCATTCGCTATGTTCGGTGCGCAAACTAAATTGAGTTTTGTTATCATACGGTTGTTGATTTCTGTCGAGCGCTTGCTTGTGACAAATCTTACGATTTTCATAATCTGTAATCATTTTACGAAACTGTTCAGGGTTATGTTCGATAAATTCATAAATGATGTCGGCAACACGGAGTAAAGGAGAATTTTTGCGCAGCTTTTCAAATTCAAAGTCAGCATCTGGAAAAAGAGTAGGGTTTTTAAATTCATGTATATTGGGAATTAAATCCTTTACTCACCTGTCGTTATAATCTCATCCGGTCCAGCAACAATAAATAATGTTTGTGCCGCCAACGTTTGAAAGTAATCATCATCAGATATTTCAAAGCCATCAGTTGACAAATACAGTTTTAAGTCTTTGATCTGTTGAAGGGAAAATATGTAGAAGGTAAGCCACACTAACGTCAAGGCCTTTTAAAAGAATCTAGTGAGCAATTGAAAGACATGACCTACGCTTCGTTGCAGATAAGACCCTGACCCGGGATGGCACCTATGTGTCATTGCAATGCTAACAACACTACCCAGCACATTGCAGGCAAGGTCGCAAGTTTATTAGCAGCATCGAGTGTGTAAACCAAAATAGCCAAGTTTATTGGCCTTCAACGGAGACCAACAATATCAGAGTTGCCGTGTGACCCCTTAACAAACACAGTAGTGTTGCAATTGAAAGGTTTTGGAAATCAACTGCTCACGCTCAAGGACACGCACGTGTATGCTATGAATGAGTGTTTGCTTGCAGGATACGACCTTCATCGTAGCCCCCATAATACGCAAGTATGGAGCAACAGGTTGGCACAGTTTTGTATTTGTTTTGGGTTTTTTTTTGGCGCCCGGTAGCGGGTCATGCGCACCATGCCTTGACATTGAATACGACAATCGAAAATGGAAAGTAATTTTGATTGTGCAAAATATGGTACTTAGTTGTAGAGGTGGACATTTGGGATAGGAATAAATGCGAAAATCTAATTGAAGTCAATTTAAAATTTTATTTCCATTTCATTTACAAAATGTGGTCTCTATATGCTTATTTTGGTGTTACAAAGTCGAGAGCTCTCAGGGAGTGTATCATTGATATTTTGCTACTGGCCGTGACAATGAAAATTGGTTCATTGTGGGTGGCGTGGGTGGCCGATAGTTTCCAGAAGCAATCAATGCTTGCAAAAGGAAAATTTTGCGACGTAATTTCTAATGAACTATCAACTAAAGCCATGTATTTTTGGATGATACAAATTTAGCGAAAAAATACTTACAGGAAACTTTAATATCGCCTTCTCTTTGAGCATTTGTAATGAATTTGCGCCAATGCCGTATTTTTTTGTACGTTCGTTGTCTGTGATTTTGTAGCCCTTCATTTGTGGAGGTGGCAGAGAATTTTCTGAACAATTTTCACTAAGCGCCACTTTAGTACAAATGCCGCCATCTTTATTGTCTGCTTCAGCTTTTGAGCTGCGCGTTGTGGGGGCCATTACGTCTTTAAAATAATTCAACATACTGAAAATTTACATTAAATCTATTAAGTAGATTGCAAAAACTGAAAAAGTTTGTACACCAGCTTACCTTGCAGCTTCCTTACTTGGCTTCAGTCACGAAGTGCGCTTTTTCGGTGAATGTGCGCCTCTCACACAAATCACAATGGACTCCACGGTGGAGAGAATGGACCCGCTTTGTGTAATTGGGGAAGAATGAACAGTGGAAAGGAGAAGCAATAACAACACAAAGGAAAAATAAATGCGCATGTGCCCCAAAAGTTCCACTATGATCCAAACAAGAAAAACTTTTGTTTGTTTACATTTTTATTGTTGTAAAATGCAGTTTTAATTTTGGAGAGAAGGGAGAGAAATTTCCCAAAGTGCCAGAGTTCCATCTTAAAACACTGTTCCTGCTGCAATCACTTTTCGGAATTCTTAAGTTCGATTAACAAAATTACTTGCAAAGCCAAGTCTGATTACACTTTTTGATACTTTTATGTCAACAATTAAGAGCATATTTGCATTGAAGACTTAAAATCCCATCCTGTATATCTTTAAATATTTTTAATTACAACGCTTTGTCACTTTTAATTTAACGTTGTACAACACTACGGGCAAATATGGTGTAAAGAAGAAATGTGAATAGCAGCTGTTTGTTTATT